GAATACTGATAAAGAACTCATCACCGTTGGATTTTATCAGTGGGTGAGTGAGTGTCATCATCATAACCGCCACCACCACCATCATCATCATCATCATCACCATTTTAATCACCATCATCTTCTTTTTCTTTGTCGAAGCCATAATCTTCACTATTGCAACTAAAACAACAACAACAACTACAGACAGACAAGTTTTCAACAATCCAGCATAATCATTCAACGTCATCATCTTCATCATAATCATCCCATCAGATACCTCTGATGCTATTATTACAAAGCGCCATCTGCTTCCTGATTGGTCAGCTCTGGAAGGCTGTGTCCAGTCAAAGTGGACTTCACCTCATTAACATAATTGACGCCGCCCAAGCCGTTCAAAATGCCCTCTACCCTGAAAGACGAGAAAAAACATTGAAATATATATCTCGTCATATTACAAGGTATATATATATATATTTTTTTATACAAACACACATAAATATATACAAACAAACATTATACAAACATACACAGATACAAACATACACAAATACAAACATACATACTCACATACAAACAAACACACAAAGACAAACCTTCACAAATAAACTTACATACAGATTCCTAACGTACCAAACCAGTTATAGAGGTGGCTGGTGTCGCGGCCTCAAGGCGTTTCTGGCCGTTAGGCTGCACTTGAAGTTTGGACAAAGATTTGGTATGTGTGTGTCTGTGTGTGTGTCTGTGTGTGTGTCTGTGCTTTTATGTGTGTGTGTTTGTGCATAAGTATAGCATTCTAAGTAGTATAACATTTCATTTAAAATTATCTAAAAATATGCGGGGATTGAATTGTGTAGGATTTCAACAAGAATAATAACAATTATAGTAGTGATGATGATAATGATATAATAATAAAAATAATAATATTAATAATTATTATAATAATAATAACAACATCAGCAACATCAGCTACAGCAACAACAACAACAACAACAACAACAATAACGGCAAATAATTACTCTAATAGGAACAATAGAGTCTTACGCATCGGCTTTTCCATCTGCTTTCAATGTTTTTGAGTACATTCGAAGAACGTATTATATGCATACAGACATACATAAACAACACATATACATACATACAAACATACATACAAACATACATACATACAAACATAAAATATACAGGAAACTATCTGTCAGTCTTCTACATATTCCTAAAAATCATGAATATCGCAAACGTGTTTCTACAATTCTTCTTGATTGGCAAGTACCTGGGAGGGGCTTACCACTACCTCGGGGTAGCCTTCTTAATCCAGTTTGCATTCCCGACCAATCAGAATCAAGTAGGTCCTAACTTTCTAACCAATAATCATCCGAGTCTGGCGCACCTGCCTTATGATTCGTCGACTTTATTTAGAAAGAATTTAACTAATGGCAGGGATTATTATTTCGCGGCTTATATCAGAGATTACAACAACAACTACAACAACCCCAACAACAACAACAGTAAAAATAATAATATTGGCGATGATGACGACGATGACGAAGTTAAGAAACATGTGCGATTTATGAATCCTAACAACTCAACTGATAATAATAATAATAATGATGATGATGAGGTGTCCTTCAAATCTATTATAACAAGGAAAATTCGAAACCAGCTTCATCATCAACAAAAACAGCAACAAAAACAACATCAACAACAACAACAACAACAACATCCACAACAACAACCGCAACAACATCAGCAACTTCCACAACAATACTTTCAACAAAACACTCAATTAAACAGCCGAACACCACCATCACCACCGTCACCCTTGCCCTCATCACCATTATCATCATCCCCATCATCACCACCAACATCATCATCATTACTATCACACTTTTCTCGCCAGTTTTTCACCATTCCAAAATTCATCCACCTCACAAACCGCCTCTTCCCAAAGGTCACATTTTGTGATTTTCGGATTCGCCGGATCACCAGCTCCCATCTGCACACGGTTCAGTGTGTACTCAGTGCCAACTTCATCAACGAGAAGGTAAATTAAGGAATTAAGTGTACGCCTTTTCAATTTTGTGTACAAACATACCTACAAACGCTTGTACACACATACTTACAAACGATAGGACAAACTCACTTGCATTTTGAAGTCGTGTTTTTAACACTAAAATGTAAGGCGTATTCATTATAGGAATGTGTTTTTGTATACAATTGTATCCACACACAACAAACATGTAAGGGTATACATACATTACATGAGTATACATACATACATACATATACATGGGTAGAACTGATACACACATGTGTAGGTACATAAATGATACATGGTTTGGTACCGTGTAAACTTTCGCTGCGGTTTTCAATTTCAAAAATATGAAATTTCAAAAGCAAATAAATATCGCTGGAAAATAAAAACTGATCCTCATATTCCGTCTCTCTCTCTCTCTCTCTCTCTCTCTCTCTATATATATATATATATATATATATATATATACTTTTATTTTTCTCTCTATTATTCTTTCTTTTTTTATCAAAAATGTTAAGAACATTAAGAAAAATATATTTAGTAGTATTTATAATGGAAGATATAAACTTAGATGGGTTTCAACAAAAACACACTTATAAATGTAAACTGATTGCTCTTAAGGGAGAAAAAGAAGATGGGATAGATAGAAAGAGAGAGAGAGAGAGAGAGAGAGATAGAGGAAAGAGAGAAGAGAGAGATAGAATGAGATAAAAAAGAAAAATATCATCTTTATACCACTTTATCTTCCTCTCTCTCTTTTCTGTTTCTCTCTCAAACTCGTTTTTTTCTTTGTTTGCCTTTATTTATCTTTCTCTCTTTCTCTCTCGCGGTCGCTTTCACTCTATTTCCCACTTTTATTCTTCCATTTTCATTCTGTAGCTCACCTCTTTCTCTTTTTCTTTCTTTCTTTCTTTCTTTCTTTCTCTCTCTCTCTCTTTCTTCCTCTTATGTAGATAATTTTTTTTACTACAGAATATTATCAAGTACAAAATTTGCTTATTAACGATAGGATTTTTTTTAACGTTTTTCCTAATTTAAGTAGCTGTAGTGTTTGTTTGTTTGTGTTTGTGTGTGTGTATGTGTGTTTATATAAGTATGTAAGTGTGTGTGTGTGTGTGTGTGTGTAAAAGTGTCTGTTTGTGTGTGCTTGCTTGGATTTGATTGTGTTGTAGTTGATAACATTAATCGATTTGTATAATAAAAAAAATCTCCTCACCAAGTGCAGTAATAATAAGAATAATAAGATTAATAATAATAATAATAATAATAAAAGAAAATAATAATAATAACAGTAACAGTGAAAACACATAGAGCGGCCCGTGACTATTTTTTGCGGCCCTCAAGGCTTTGTTCTCCAAAAAAAGTTCGTCAGGCAGACATTATGTCCAAAAAGGAGCCAGAAATCTTTAAAAAATTCTCTACAGGGTCAAAAAAATTTGTTATTTAAGTACATATGCGGCTCTTCAAAGGTAAAATAGTTCTTAGGGCGGCTCTCACAGCAAAAAGCTTGCCCACCCACCTCTGATGTAGAGTAATGAAGGACAATCAACTTCAGTGAATCTTTCTTTAAACTTTACAGTTTATAAGACATTAATTTATGTTTAGATTCACTGTTTGTCAAGCGTTTTTAGTATATATAAATTCTCCTGTAAATACGCTTCTAACCGTATTTAAGATTTCAAATTATTAAAAATAATGATTGAATCGATTTTTACACGCTAGGTCTTTATCATCCTCTGGTTCTGGTTGGTGTTGCTCCAGTCTTTGAACGTGTACAGCTTCGTCGTTTGGTTCAGCAGACTCTGCGTCAAAAAATTCCGTCGAGATTACGTGATTAGGCAGATGTTGATGATTCGGAATCGAGGGTTCGGAGTGGGATTGGGATTTCAGGAAGGTTTTATTAGACGGCGGGAGAGTGCGGGATTACCTGATGACGGCGTCGGTGGTGTCGCTGAAGACGCTGCTGCTGGCGATCTTGTCGCTAGTGGGACTGTTGTTGTTGACGTCGAGAAGAGAATCGCTGAATCGGCGTTCGTCATTAAAAAAACTGATTGTTTAACTGCTGGTGATAATGAAGAATACCCTCCAACTTTGACAAGTGCCACGCCAGCCACAAAATTCGATGAAGCAACAACTGCTGCCACTGCAACGACAACAACAACAACAACAACAACATCAGCACATGCCGAGATCAACATTGCAGAAGATGAAGAGCCACAAACAACAACAACGACAGCAACAACGACTCCAATAACACCTAGAAAACATCAGCTGAAGGGAGTTAGATTTCAACCGCAGCAACAACAGCAGCGGCAACTGCCACAACTGCCACAAAACGAACAACAACAGCAACAAACAGACTACGAACAACTACTTCAATCGTTCGCCGACAATTTCTTACGACAAGATGGGATATTCGTCTTGAAAATGCTTGCGAAAAATTCGACTCGACTCGTCGAATCTGACATCATAGCTTTACTGTGGGAAGTTCACGAAAATCGTTCGGTATATTCGGCTAAAACCGCCGATAGACCGTCGGCCAGTCGTGGCCGTCGAAGGAGTTCTATTTTTAGCAGCGGCGTGGGCGGAGTCAGCTCCAAAAGACGGGACACAGTTGTTGACGTCACCGAGTTGAGAGGGATTAGTGGATCTTTGAGGAAAGCACTGGTTGATGAATGATGATGATTGTGGTGATGGTGATGATGCTGTGGTGTGGTGACGCTGATATGTGCAGTGGAGTGCCTCTTATTAACATTTCTTCATTCTTATTGGGTTCTGAACGCCTTATCAATTAACTTAATTATTTGAATAGCTAATTGACTGATTGTTCCAATAGGCGAATGATTGATTCGTTGATTGATTGAATAAATGATTAGTTGATTGATTGAATAAATGATTAGTTGATTGAATGATTTATGACGTCATTTCACCGTCATAGCGATAACGATCTAAAGTCTAAAATACAATAAAAACAATTTTTATAAGATAATCGTATGACACGTGACCAAAATGTAATATTAATTTGTTAAATAAATAGATAAATAATTAAATAATATGATTTATTATTAATTTAAATATTTATTAAAAATATTTTTAAAATTTTTCGTTTAAATAAAAAACAACGTCGCCATAGCAATATTAAAGCCTCTTGTTTTTCAAAATCAATTTGAAAAAATTTAAAAGTGAATTTAAATGTTGGAAAATTTGTGAGAGAAAAAAAGCAAGTCCGCCAAATGAAGACTTTAGTCGCAGTGACGTCACGATGATGATGATGAAGATGATGACGTCACGATGATGATGATGACGTCACGATGATGATGATGACGTCATGATGATGATGATGACGTCACGATGAGGATGGTGGTGATGATGAAAGGCAACGATGAGAGCAAATATACTCCTTTTCTGTCTTTTTTTCTATCACTGAGAAAGAAATTAAATTTTCATTATAAACACGCATGCAGTTTAAGCCTTTGAAAGTAATTTCTCAATCAATCAGCAGACCAACCAATCAACAACCAATCAGTAAGCAGACGAACCAACCAACCAACAAACCAGCCAATCAGTGAACAGACCAGCCAGCCAATCACCAACCAACCAACCAACCAACCAACCAACCAACCAATCTCTCAATGGAACTTCTGGACAGCCTCCTAGCGTACGTGGGGATATATTTAGAACCGGACGAACCCACAACGCTATTGGTCGAAAGGTACGATGACGTCACAGGCGTAACGCGTGACGTATAAGATGAAATCTCCCCTATACCACGTGATGTATAGGATGGGATTTCCCCTCTACTGAAGCTGCTGATGCTGCTGTGGCTGCCACTGCCGCTGTATGAAAACCTCCTCCTCGATTTGTTCATCTGGGTCAGGGAGGAGGGGGTGGAGGAATTTTCAGAGTCACCTGATGAAAATTATTAAATAATTATTTTGAAAATTATTCGTATCATTTCAATAATATCAATAAAACTGAAAAACTCGATAAAAAACGATTGAAAAAAGACTAAGCAACCAACCAACCAACCAACCAACCAACCAACCAACCAACCAACCAACCAACCAACCAACCAACCAACCAGCCAGCCAGCCAGCCAGCCAGCCACCCAGCCAGCCAGACAGACAGCCGGCTAGCCAGCCAGCCAGACAGACAGACAGACAGCCAGCCAGCCAACCAACCAGCCAGCCAACCAACCAACCAACCAACCAACCAACCAACCAACCAACCAGCCAACCAACCAACAAATCAACCAACCAACCAACCAACCATAAATATGAACAGTACAGCTGGTTTCAGTGGCACCCATGGTATTAGAGGCTCTACAAGTAAACTTCCCGCCGTGAATTTTTCGCAGGCAATTTTCAACCTCGAGCGAGCACATGCCATGCGCGTAGCTTATGTCATAATCAATGTTGGATTTGTCAATCTCGACGCCATCTTTGTACCACGTGATCTGTTTGTTTGTTTATTTTCGTGACAAATTTAAACTTAAGAACATGCTTCTAGAAAATACTTCCATCTTGTTTAATTTAAATTTATTTTTTCATTCACACTCCTAACTAAACAATTCATCATCTCTACAAGAATATGATAATTTATTCAAATTTATTCAATTCATCATCCCTACAAGAATATGATAAATAATTAAAATTTATTCAATTCATCATCCCTACAAGAATATGATAAATAATTAAAATTTATTCAATTCATCATCCCTACAAGAATATGATAAATAATTAAAATTTATTCAATTCATCATCCCTACAAGAATATGATAATTTATTCAAATGACCTTGGGAGAGGGTTGACCCTCGACGCAGCTGCTCAATTTAAAGGCCGTACCCTCCTGAATAGATCTATCTCGCAGTGCGAACGTGAACTCAGGCTCTCTTCCAACTTCACTTTTAGTTGCAGTCGACGATGATGATGATGATGACGATGATGATGATGGTTCTAGGCTGTGAGATCTTAGTACCGGAGATTTTTTTGAGTACGACGACGACGATGATGATGGTGATGACGTCATTTTTCCAGCTGCGAGTAACAGTGATGATGACGATGATGTCGATAATAATAATAATAACAATAATAATAATAATATAAATAATAAAAACCTTCGATAGAGAGCAGCGCGGCCTCTTCTACCCTTCCGTAGACATTTTCGGCCCTAACGACATACTCGCCCCTGTCCGACGATGACGTCACTTTGTTTATTTTTAGCTCGTAGTAACTTCCGGTATTTGTCGTGACGTATTTTGTTGTTGATGATGACGATGATGTTGTTGTTGTTGTTGGTATGGGGTTTGAGTCTTTGAACCTGGGTTTATAAGTGAGTGAGTGGGTGAGTGAATGAATGAATGGATGAATGAACGAATAAATGAGAAGATGGATTGAAAAATGATGATGGATTAAAAAAAGATTAAATAGGTTGATGAATGAACAAATGATTGACGTAGCAATTAAATTAACACGTGAATTATCAGCTTAGTAAATGAATAAAAGAAAAATAACTTAATCATCTTCTTCATCAAAAACATCAAAAAACGTCATCATCATCATCACCATCATCGTCATCATCACCATCATCGTCATCGTCACCATCATCGTCATCGTCACCATCATCGTCATCGTCACCATCATCGTCATCGTACCATGTGACTGTAAGTTTTTCCGGCGAAATAATTTTGCATTTGAAGGAAGCCACGGTCCCTTCAATCGCTGATTGGTTGCGAGGTTTCCAGACGAATCTGGGTTGAACTTCTTTACGATCTGTTGATGTTGATGTTGTTGTTGATGATAATGATGTTGTTGGTGATGTTGATGATGATGACGTAAAATGTTTGAACTCACCGACTTTATGTAACACAATATTTTTAGTATTTTTCAGCAGCGATGTCGCGTCAACTAGCTTTCCGATGGACAATTTTTCAGTGTTTTTGTTTCTGCAATCTTTTTTTCCAACTTCCTCCTTCTCTCAGTCGATAAATTGTTTATTCATTTATTTATTCGTTCATTCAATCTATCATTCATTCGTTTATTTGTTTATCCGTTAATTAATTGATTAATTAATTCACTCAATCAATCAATCATTCATTCATTCACTCATTCACTCATTCGTTCATTCATTCACCTCTATACTCTCTAAAAGTTGTACATATCTCTCTTTCTCCATCAGCTTCGTTGAGTACTTGCACTCCCGGCAGAGCCAAGGGTGGTCCAGGGCCTCTTGTGACGTCATGCGCATGCTGATGATGATGACGACGATGATGATGACAGTGATGATGACGTTGACAATAATAATAATAATAATCATCATCATAACCTGGGTTCTTTGTCGATTAAGTTGGCAACGAAATCCTTGGCGCTTTCTGAAACGTTCAATTTTTTATGGTCCATAGAATATTTGCAGGATAAAATTTTTGCCACTTTCTCTTCTCTGGTCTTCGCCTCGAATGGAAATTTTCCTGTCAAGCTTAGTCATGATAATGATGGGAAATGTTGGTGATGATCTGATTACATAATTCATTGAGGAGCGCTGTTGAACATCGCGGAAATAGCGCTTTATAAACTAATTGATTAATTGATTGATTAATAAACAAAATGATTGGTTGACAGGACAGCCAATCAAAAGACTCACAGGACATAGGTGATCACGCCCACAGCCCACATATCCGAATAAAATCCGACATTTCCACCGTCGCTTAGTAACTCTGGCGCCATAAAATTAAGGTCAAGGTCGCGACATTCGTTGACCTTGAGAACAGGGATGTGCTTGGTGGGGTCCAATAGAGCAGATTTGGAAAAATTGGTTAGCTTGATGTCCTGGCTTTTGGAAGTCGTGAAGATTAGGTTCTCCGGCTGGTTTTATTTAAATTTTTTTTATGATAATAACAATAATAATTATTGTTATCATAATTTTAGTTATTATTAATTATTATTAATTATTATTAATTATTATTATCATCATCATCATTACTTTGATGTTAAGGTGTACAGCGTTATTTTCGTGCAGATGTTGTACACCCTCGCAAAGCTGACGTATTAATCTGGCCACATCCTCTTCCGTGGTTCGCTCGTTCTCATTGGCCAGTCTGCTAAGTATGTCCTCACCTGATAGGCTGGTGAAATTTGGGTAGATTTGAATGGTAAGTTCTGATTGGCCGGTTAGACTTTCATTGTTAAAAACTTATCGGCATGTTATCATCTATTGTAAGAGTCACATAGTAATTAAACATTCTAACCTTTACCATCATCGCCATCACCATCATCATCATCACCACCACCAACATCCTCATAATCATCATCATCACCATCTTCATCATCATCATCACTAACAATTCCAGAACTAAAGATATTGCGTCTTCATCTTCATAGACTGCGCACAGCTTTTGCAATTTCTTACTCCCACTCATCTTTGACATCAATTCCGCTTCTTCCATAACGGATTTCCGGTTAATCCGGATCTGATCCGGATTGACCGAAGTCGTGTTGTCGTTTAGTTTGATGGTCTCGCAAAGGTAACTTCTACTGGTCTGTTTGTCCGTAATTAGGTCAAGTTTTGCCTGCTCCGAACTGATTATGTAATTAGGTCAATGGTAGTTCATTACAACATAGTCAACATTATTAATATAACCTGGCTAATGTTTCTTCAATTTCAAATATATGACCGAGTTGGCTAATCTTCTTAACCTTGATGACGTCATCTGACGTCATCAGTGACGATGACGATGATGGCGTGAGTGAAGCAGATCTCTCTCGGTCTTGTATGTGTGTGTGAGTTCACGAGAGTGAATCAAATTCATTCATTCGTTCCGTTATTCGTTCATGTTTTTCACTCATTCATTTTTTCCATTATTCATTCGTTTCCTCCTTCGATTAAACATTTGTTCCTTCATTTATTTGTTCATTTATCCATCCATTCTTCCATCCATTCAACCATCCGTTCATCCATCCATCGATCCCTCCATTCACTTAATCATTCATCCAGTTAAAAACACATGAGCTAACAATATTGGTCGTAATTCTTTCTAGGGGATTTTCCATCAGACGTAGTTGCTGTTGTTGTATCAGTTTTAATTTTACCTATGAAAAGACGAATGAATGAATGAATGAATGAATGAATGAAAAAACGAATGAGTGGATAAATACATGAATTCATCTCCCTCGCTGACCTGATTGTCCGGGAACGATTCTGATTGGCTCAGAAGTTTGGCCACGCCCGAAAACATTACAAGCCCCGACGCGTAGTTGGTAGATTTTGTTGTGTAGGACGTTCTCTACTTTGCATTTCGTGATCCTATCGGACGGACGGTAGATAATTTATTAAATTTTAAATTGAAAAAACTTTTCTTCTTCTTCATATTTATCTATCTATTTACTTGTCTGTCTATCTAACTAATTATATATCATTAACCAATCAATCAATCAACCAACCAATCAATTAATCAACCAATCAATTAACGAAACCTCGTCAAAGAATAGGGTAGCCATTTTGAATTATCCACATAACTATTTCCACTGGCCTGATGCAGAATCTCCACAAAGTATTGCGTAATCGTACTTCCGCCATCCTCTTCCGGCTCATCCCACTTCAAAATTAGGCAGCCATCCGTCACCTCTTCAAATGTTAAATTCCTCGGAACTCCCGGAACGTCTAAAATTAGCGTAAAATAAAAAAATTATTTTTTGTATCTTTTTCATTGCTCAGTCCCCAGCCCCAACTCTAACCATAATCCACCACATACTGACCATTAATCTTGATCTTAACAGTCGCCTGGTCCTCCCCATACTTGTTGGTCAGCACGACATCGTACTCGCCGGCATCCTTCGACTGCAAGTTCTCCAGCCTCATCATCACGAACCTCGAGGTACTGTCGAACCTCACCCGCTCACTAAACGACCGCGGAACCGTTTCCGTATTGAAGTTAGCACTGCCGGATGTGACGCCATTCGAGCCAACCGGTACCGACGACAACCGAGACAAAGATATCCGACTACTTGATGATCGACGTCTGGACCGATAATCGTACGACGATTGTCGGTTAAACAGAGTGGACGACGACGACGTCAAAGAATTACTGCAGTAAGGATCGTTACTGTAGAACGCGTCGTCGATATCGGTGACGTCATCATCTACGTCATCGATCGTCGGCCTCTCAGCGGCGTAGAGTTTCTCGCCGGTTCGTTTGTTGAGCCACTGAATGGAGGGCAGAGGCGTGGCAGAGTAGTAGAACTTGATACTCGCCAGACTCCCGCGGTCCTGGATCAGAGGTTGTTCATAGGCCTGGGGTACGTGGATTCGGGGCGGAGCTAAAATGGAATAATAATAATAATTATTATTATCATAATTATAATAATAATAATTATTATTATTAACAATTACATAATTATAATGGTTTCTAATGACAAAGACCACCAAAAGAGCATATTTCAATTCCTAATTCCCAACCGTTAACGACGAGAATAGTCCTTGATGTTTTATTTCCCTGGAGATTTTGTGCCCTGACCATGTACTCGTCGGCGTCATCTGCCGACAGGTTTTTAATTGTGAGTGTGTGCACGCTTTCGAAGTCAGCCTCCCCATCATCAATGGTTATTTCGTACTTCGGTACGTTAGTTGAGTTGGAATTAGATGATGAGGATGATGATGAGAATGATGAGGAGGATGTGGTTGTTTTTGTTGCTGCTGATGTTGCTGTGGGTAGGAGGTTTTGGCTTCCTTTATACCTGGTGGAGTAAAGTGTCTTCAATTGCCCGTAGAAGAATTAGTAAAATACTCTGCATTGTTGCTGCTACTGTCTGCTATGCAAAGGTAACAATTAAAAGCACAATTGCTTTTTCTACCATTGTTACTGCTGATACTCTGGCGACTACTTACCACTACAACTTGCTACTACTACTACCACTACTACTAATTCTGTTGCTACCACTACTACTACTACAAATAATGTCATTGAAATGAAATTACTACCAGGTAATTTTAGGCGCCGGTTTTCCGACGACGACAACCTGCAACTCGACCGACCTCTCCGCCAGGACCTCGTAACTCGACTGAAGTGCAACTTTGAATGTCGGTATTTCTGCATTGGGGATACCAAATAAATGAATAATAATAATAACCACCATCATAACCAACAACATCATCACAATCGTTCCAATTACCTAATTGGTCTTCGATTTTTACGGCCGGCGATGATTTAGACGGGGTTCCTGAGCCTGCCTCGTTGCTAGGCACGACTCTAAACTTATAGACGCGACCCTCAATTAAGTTTTCAACAGTACAACTGCACAGGCTTTGTTGTTGCTGTTGTTGTTGTTGTTGTTGCTTGGTAGACGTCATCAGGTCGGACACCGCTGCTGAAGTCCATTTATATTTTTTATCATCACTAATATCGTCATCGTCATCATCGTCGTCATCGTCATCGTCAATGAATGTTTTTTCCACGGTGTAAATTGTGGTGGGCGGAGTTATGAGACTTTTGATTGACGTCACGTCGACCAATGGCGATGCAGTCCACGTTAATGTGGCTCTCGTTTTTGAAACGTTCGATATGATTGGCTGGCCGGGACTTGCCGGTGTGGCTTGAAATTTGAATTTTTAAAACGTTTACCAATGAAAAACAATTTTTAGAATATTTTTTTTCATAAAAATTAAGTTTAAAAATTGAAATATTAATTTTAAAAAATCAAAAACCAAAAACAACTTTATAAAAATTTTATTTGAAAAAAAAATAAAATGTAAATACCGAATGGATGTTTGGCCTTAACAGTTCCTTTGCAAACCAAATATCGTCCAGTACCATAGATATTAACAGCGGAAACTCTGAATCTGTATACTTTGTCCTCTATTAAGTTGTCTATGGAGGCTTGTGTAGTCTGTAGTGGTATTTTTTTGATATCTTTTGTCTTTGCAGGCGTAATTGGTCGACATTGGTGGTGTGGATGATGATGATGATGTGATGATGATGATGTGATGATGATGAGATGATGATGATGAGGATGACAAAGATGACGGTGACGATAACGATGACGATGAAAATTTTGATAATGATACTAAGGTGACCTTGACATTGGAACACGCCGTCGTCCAATAGGATTTCTCCACATCATTTTTCTCAACGACGTAATGGAGTATCTTTTGTGGTAAAAATAAAAATAACAATAATAACAAAAATAATAATTTTTAAAAATAATAATAATAACAAAAATAATAATTTTTAAAAATAATAATAATAACAAAAATAATAATTTTTAAATTATAATAATAATAATGATAATAATGATGATAACCTTACTAAAGCCGTCCATTTGAGGAGGTCGCCAGGAGAGAGTGCACGAGTTTTTGTTGACGTCATCGACCCTAAGTGGGCCCAGGCACTTTCCTGGCGGTCCTGATAACGATTAATTATAATTATAATACAAATATAATAATTATTATTATTGTTATTATTATTATTAGCAGCAGCAGTAGTAGTAGTAGTGGTAGTAGTAGTAGCAGTAGTAGTAGTAGCAGTAGTAGTAGTAGTAGTAGTAGTAGTAGTAGTAGTAGCAGTAGTAGTAGCAGTAGTAGTAGCATACCTTTTACAATGATGTTGATGAGGCAGTTAGCTGATGCCACGCTGTTACTGAGCTGAAGAGAATACTGTCTTCCGTTCATCTTCATGGAAGCTCCTAGAAAAAATTAATAATTATAATTGTAATAATATTAATAATAATAATATTATTATTATTATTTTTATTGTTATATAAAAAATAATAACAAACCGGAACTAACTTTTAATATATAGAGTTACAAAGTCATCGTCTTCATTGGATAAAACCTCGATAGGGACATCATCGTCGTCGTCGTCATCTTCATTGCGATCATCGTCACCATCATCATTAACCTCACTTCCTGATCTCTTTACAATTTCAAGGTCGTCAATTGAAAGATTGAAACGGTGCGGGGCCGAGCCAGAAAATGCTATCCTCTGTTTGGTTGACTGGCCGACCAATAAGCTGAGCTCGTATGTTGATTGGCTAAAGGATGGCCGAACTGCGATGTGATTGGGTCAAATTTTTTTAAAATAAATGAACGGATGATGAACGAATGAATGAATGAATAGACAAATTGATAAATATATGAACCGAGAGATGAACGAAAGCATAAATAAATAAAAGGACCAAAAAAAATGATCGACCAACCCAGAACATTAAGTTTAGCCGATGACGTAACTTTACCAAAAAAATTACTCAACTCGCACGTGATCAGACCAGCATCTGACGACTTTGTATCTTTGATAACTAGATCGAAAATTCCAGTTTGGGTATTTTCCGTTTTTGATATCCTTCCTGCTACAATAACTGGACTATTGTTTAAGAACCTGGTGACAGTTATAGCCAAAATAATTGTTATTGCTATTTTTATTTATTAACTAGATAGAGCAGCCAATCAGAACGCACCATTTCGCAGTTGGCCATGGGCTTCCGGCAACTTTGGCCACCATGACGGCCTCTCCGCCGATCATAATGTCCGTATTCGATAGCGGGGTTAAAAAGCGTGGCTCGCTGCCCTCTGCAATTTAAAGTAGCTCAAATAAAAACGAAGAAATGAATGAGTGATTGAGCGAAACAGTTAACAAATAAATGAATGATGGACGAGAATGAATGAATGAGCGAATGAATGAGTAAAACAACATGAAAAAAGTATATATAACCACTGAAAACATACCGCTGTGTGGCGGCTTAGATGAAAACAACTTCTGATCACTATCATCGCCAACAACGTCATCATTATCATCATCGCCGCTGTCGTTCAGCCTAGCTCTATACTCAACTACAACTTCATCATCGTCGTCGTCATCGTCATCATCATTTCCACCATCATCAATGTAGAGCTTGCCATAGTGAACCTTCTGACCAACACTCGTCCATTCTTCAGAGTTTCCTCTCCTCTTTTCTAATACAACACCTGCAATTAGTTGGTATAATGGGTTAATTTATGCGTATAAATTATGAAAATTTTTAAATTTTCTATTTTTAGATCAGGCCCACCTTGTTGCTTGTAGCCAATAGGGTGCGACCAATCAAGCCTACACTTACCGTCATGAAGAACTTTTATGCTCGTTATAAGGCCAGACATTTTCGGGGCTGGTTATGATAATGATGTTTATAAGATGATGATGATGGTGATGATGATAATGATGGAGGTGATGATGATCTACAACGCTCGCTTTATATTTCGAACGGACACAAAGAGAAATAAAATGGGCATCAGAATAGAGTCAAAACTGTGTGGGTACGATGGCTCTATGACGGAATTCATGGATCCGTCGGGAAGTTGGCCAGACCAAATGAAATCCATTACGGATTAATTTAAAATAATATTAATAAATAATACTAATAGTACTTCAGAAAAAAAACAAATTACTTTGAAATGATAGAAAAAATATTTTGACGAACATTTTTTGTTATCTATGGAGACAAAATGAGATGGCAGGCTGGCATGACCGGGACCGGATTTGTTGACACCAAAGACTCTAAAGTGATGTTCTTTATTCGGTTTCATGTCGGTAACTGTGTGGATGAATGAATGAATGAGTGAGTGAATGAATGAATGAGTAAGAGGACAAATCAACTACCAAACAAATGAATGAATGAATTAGTGTAAATAACAAAATCAACCAATGACAATTGAGCAAATTGTATCAAAATCTTTGAAAAAAATTAATAAAAATAAAAACAGCCAACCAAGACAACGGTTGCCAGCATTGGAAGACACCCTACCAACAACTGACCAATCAGATGAATTCTTTTGGCAGGCCTCAATGACGTAATCGATCGGTGTGTTTCTATTAGCTGGCGTTAGTTTACTTACGGTCCATGTGACTAAGATTGTTTTATCTTTGGTTACTTCTACTTTTGGCCTATCCGGTGCTACAGGAAGTTCTGTTTACCAAAAATTGTAAATAAATACATAAATAGTAAATATATTAAGTAAGATAGCTATTAATTTTTATTTTTTTGTAATTTTAATGTGTGTAGCGCTATATTTCACTAACCAATTTCAGAAGGGATAATTAGAGTATCTTTGGTGACGAGTGGAGCTCCCTGACCAACTTCATTGACGGCAGAAGCACGGAAATTGTACGGAACATCATCTTCAAGGTCGTCGACGAAGCACTCAGTTTTCCGGCAATATTTGTTTATGGGTTTCCATTTACTTTCATTTTCGTTTCTCATCTCGACGATGTAGTGGGTTATTGGTTTTCCCCCGTTGTTCTAAAAATAAAATGCGAGGATTATATTGTTATAATGAAAGTTTTACGCAAACGAAAGAAAGGGAGAGAAAGAGAGAGAGAGAAAGAGAGAGAAATACAGAAGGACAAACCATTGGTGCTTTCCACGTTAACAAACAAGACGTATTTTTAATGTTGGAAACTTTCAAAGGTGCCTCCGGGGTGTCAGGGGGTCCAACGACGGTTAGGTTGATTTTAGTTTCGTCACCACCTAAGTCGTTAATTAGGTGCAGTCGGTACGTGCCGGTATCCGATATCTCCACCGACGGTTTCGATATTAAAAGCTCAGCGCTGCATTGGTTTGAACTGTTAGATGAACTTGAAAAAAGTGAAGTTGTTGACGATGCTGCTGTCGTTGTCGTCGGAGCCACATCGACGTTGAAGAAGCCGCGAATGATTGTTGTTGCCGTCGTTTGTGGTGATGTCGGTGATGATGATGATGATGATGGTGGTGGTAATGATGATGATGTTGGGGCCTCAAGTTTTTTCGACATTGATGAGCCAGAAGGCTTTTTTTGGCAAATAGATAAAATAAATAAATAAAAATTTGAAAAAATAAACAAATAAGAAACAAATAAGAAACAAAAACAAATTTACGCTGGTCAAAGTGAAAGTAGGCTGGGGAAAACCAGAGAATGGTACGCGGATTTTCATTGGCTGGCCGGCGTGTAGGGTCACATTCATTGCTGAGCTGTTTATCAGCAGTCTTGGAGCAGCTGACAATGAAAAAATTTTAATATTAATAACTTGATTAATGCTAATGCTGTCGATGATGTCAATCAACCAATGAACTAGCACTACCATCAGCCCAGTTACCAACCAACCAATCAACCATCGAATCAATCAGCTAACTTGGCGCTATATAAAGTTTCGGCGTAAAGTTAAGCGCCGCAAAAGGACCGACACCGACATCGTTCATCGAGGCGACTCGAAACTCGTAACTTTTACCGACTTGCAAATGTTTTATCACCGTGTCGAGTTGATCGGCTGGGCCTGAACTTACTCTGACGGCGATGATGATGATGATGATAATAATGATAATTACTATTATTATAATTATTATTATTTATAATAATAATAATAATTATTATTTTATGTAGTAGTAGTAGAAGTATGATGACGATGATTGATGTGACGATGCAAAAAGAGTTTTGCAGTCAAGATGATAACAATGAAATTAATTATAAGAAAAATACAACACTAACAACAATAATATTAACAAAAATAATAAGAAGAAGAAAAAGAAGAAGAACAAAAATGAACCAACCAGAAGGTCAATGACTGACCTTGTCCAGTAGTGAGAAAATAATTCTTTCTTCTCGACAACGTAGCCAATGATGGAGTGATCGAGCGGGTCGTCCCAAGCCATGCAGGCCGCTGTGTCACTCAGCTGAGTGCAATGCAATCCGTATAGTAATCCCGGAAGTTCTGGGATTGGACGAGCGAATGAAGGAACGGATCAATGTTTGGATGAATGAATGAATGAATGATCAATCAATCGATGATAGATTGATTGATAATCAGCATCACTATCAGCATCAGCATCACTACCACATCATCATCATCACCATCACCTGATCTTGACCCGGGCACCACAAGTTCACTTGTCACGAGGGCCTCACCATCGCCAACTTCATTAACGGCGTACACCCTAAAATCGTAGGCCACACCTTTTTCCAAATTCGTCACTTCCGCTTCCGTTTCGTGAGGTTTGACCTTAGATGTGACCTTGATCCAGCGGCCGGCTGTAGATCGGCCGGAAGTGGCTTGCCTCTTCTCGATGACGTAATTCAAGATGGAGAAACTTTCGTGATTTTTTGGCGGGTTCCAAGTTAAAATGGCACTGTCGTTTGTGAGATTGAAAATGTCCAGAGGACCCTCTGGGGGCGGGGGCGGGCCTGGTGGTAATGATGATGATAGAGATGATGGGGAAGATGACGTAGATGATGACGTAAATGATGGCGTAAATGGTCCACAATTTTACTTCTAATTTTAATTTTTTCTACCGCCACTAGTAAAGCAATAAATACCAATATTCTTTACCGCTTCTGAAGTAAACTCATAAGAAGCGCTATACAAATTCTACAATACAATTATCTCTACTTCTACGTTAAACTAGGCTTATAAATTGTGATAGCGAATGAATTACTTCAAAATACGGGAAGAAATAAATGCTAACATTGGACAATGATCTTGAAGGAAGCCTGTGCAGAACCGCATCTGTTAGAGAGAATCAAACTGTACTTGCCCGAGTCTTCAGAACATGCTCCTTTTATCGATAGTATCACGCAGCTGTCTTGGATCTAATTGTTTGTCATTCGTGTGATTGAGTTTGTTTGTTTGTGTTTGTGTGTGTGTGTGAGGTGTGTGTGAGGTGTAAGTTTAGAGGTCTGATGGATTGAATAGCAAATGAATAAATGAATAAACGTATCGATAGAAGGATGGTTGAAAATGAAGCCGATGAATAAACAAATGAACTATTGAAATGACAATCCATAATAAACTAACATAACTAGAAATTTTAGCATGTTTGGAGACGTTTAAAACTTTCGGCTTCTTGTACTTGAAGACGCCCATGCTGCCGACACTGTTGCTTCCACTGCTGTTGTTAGAGTCGTTGAGACCGACTGTATTAATACTACCGCTGCTGCTCTCCCGACTCAAATTTCCAGACCTGCGCATTCTGCTCCTAGTTAAGCTGTCTAACTGCGAGATGCTATGCCTCCTGTTGTAGCCACCGCTGTTTGAAATGACGTCAGCGCGACTTTTGCTGCCGTTTACGGTGACTGAAGTGACGTCACGGCTGCTGTTTCCGCCACTGCTGTTGCTAAAGCGGTTCGAGTAGTAGCTGCTGTCGTTGTTATTGATGACGTCATCGCTGCTTGCGATGCTAAAGCGCTTATTTTTTGAGAGTTTGAGGTTGAGGTCGTCGTCGAGGAGGCAGAAGTGGCGTCTGGCCTTAAACCACTCGAACGTTGGCTGCGGGTTGGCTGCGAAGGAGATGGCGACGCGAATGTCCTGGCCCTTTCTTACTGTTACATCCTTTATGGCCGACAATGTCAAGGTCGGTTTCTCTGTTTCGATGGATAACAACAAATTCCTTCTGAACAATTTCTATTTTAATTCGATTACTTCGGAAAACGTTGACATGAAAATATATTTTTTAATTTGAGAAATAAAATTGCTACTAATAGTTTTCCTTCACCTTCAAGCGGAAGTGTGTTTATGACGTCAGAGGGTGGGCCAGGGATGGACTGGCCTTCTTCGTTTTCAGCAATTACTCGGTAGAGGAAAAAACTGTTTGGCTTCAAAAAATCGTCTTTGAATTGGTGGTCCTGAGTTGGCGGGAAATATAAAATCATGTTAATCATCATCGTCGTCGTCATCATCGTAGCAATCATCGTCACCCTCACCCTCACCTTAATAGGATCATCATTGACCAAAATCCATTCACCGTATTGGCTTTTGGTATTCTTGCGTTCAACATGATAGCCAATCAGCTCGCAGGCATCGTTGAGGTCATTATGACTGAATTTATCCTCCCAGCCAATCAGAATGAAGCTCGTCCCGTGGTCAAGAAGATGTGGCTTCCCCGGTGCCTCTGGTGGACCTACAATCAATTAATACATATTCATTAAAAATCCAAATTACAAGTTTGTGGATTTAATATTATAAATTACAAACCTTCAACCATGATAATTATGGTTATATAATTATAATTATTTAGAATTCCATACAATTAAATTATGTTATAATTTTTAGTCCCCAGCAGCACTAACCAAATTTATTCTCGACGACCACTGGCTCGTCACAGACCAGATATTCACTCCTTCCTTCTTCGTTCTCTGCCGCAATCCTGAACAAGTAAGCCTCGCCAGACTGCAACTTGTCGACTTTCAGTTCGCAAGTTGTGGCGGGCACAAAATGGCTGACCTGGTCCCAGACGCCTAGATCCATCTGTCTCTTTTCGACCACATAGTTGCTATTGTCATCGTGTTGGTTAGATGGAGTGCATATGTAATGGAGTGAATTGATGCAAGTGGATTCCCAGGTGATGTCAATTATATGGAGTAACGTAGAATAAGCAAAATAGCATAAAAATGAATAAGCTAATTAATTAATTAATTATAAATAATTAAATTATAAAAGTGATGTGCCTACGTTATCGGTTTGCCACCGGTATTGACCGGATGCTCCCATTTCAGTACAACACTACTCTTGCGAATATTCGAGAGTTGCAAAGATCCAGTCGGTTTGCCAGGAGTGTCTGCAAAGTTTTTATATGAATGAATGAATGAATGAATGAACGAACAAACGAATGAATAAACAAATAACTCACCGACAACATGTACATCAATGGTTGCGCTGTCACTACCATGCATATTTCTAACAGTAGCCACATATTTCAAGGAATGATTCCTCTTACATTCCTTGCAGGATAGCATAGAACAATTTTGGGACGTTCTAACTGTGAAATGATCCGGATCATCTATCAACGGATCCTGTTTTGTGTGAAAAATTTGATTGAATTTCACAATAAATTAATAGTAAGAGTTATCATACCACAATTGGTAATTAATTGTAATACATAAATGGATGAATAACTAAGTGATTGAATGATAGGAAGAACAAACATTTGAATAAATGAATGAGTAATAAGTGAACGAGTGAATGAACGAATAAATGAATGAATGAATGAATGAATTAATGAATTAATGAATACCCCTTGACTCGATGTCCACTCAACGATCGGTACGGGCTGACCGTAATACAAAATCTCAAGATGGAAATCATGTCCAGCTTTAACTTTTAGCGATGATTCATAACTCGTGTGATCAATTTTGGCAGCAACTGTTATTAGAAATAATTATACATAATTATGAATAATTACTTTGTAATTATTTTATTTGCTATCGTTGCGTTCAATGATCAGTTGCTAAAGTTAATTTTTAATTGCTCTGGTATTTGTTCTTTGTAGTTTTTGTTTTGCGAGCGATAATTCGGTTTGTTTATGTTTACATTCCGCACAGCTGCCGGCTAAGAGTTTTTTCGCTGTTTAAATTTTGCCTAATTTAGGATGAATATCAGTTCGGATTTAAAAACAACTAAAACAAAAACTTCACCACCAACAACAACCTCAACGCCACAGACATTTAAATTAGTTACCCTGTTTGAAAACTTATCATCAAATGAAAAAAATTGTTTGGAATTCATAGATGAAATCAAAAAGACGCCATCTCACGAATTAAACTTAGAGGCTCAGGATTTAGTGCCGAAATTGTGTTCACTAATCCGTCCTAAAACACGACGAAAAATACTAAACACCTGCATAACTGCGCTACTTTACTTGGTGAATCAGTGCGATCCAAAAATACTTTTGTTGATTTTATTGGAGGAGGTGCACGAAAAAACAAAATTAAAAGATATTCTATTTTTGAATCTTCTAGAACCCATTTTTATCTGTCTAAAAAGAATTGATTTCCCCAAAAGTAATGCTATAAATGTGGCCTTCAAAGATTTGTACAGCAGAATTGAGTACCTTGAACTGCCAAAGGATTTCCACCTTGAAAATAAAGAAAGACATCTGCTTCAGTTTGACACAACAACGCAAACCATATTGAAATGGCTGGTACCTCTACACAATCACGTTGAAGATTTTCTGATTCATTCATTGGATCGATTGCATTCTAAAAGTTTTCAAATAAAAGAGATTGTCGAGTTTTTGAGGTTGGAGTTTAAAATTTTAGCACAACCTCTTGCCTATTTTGATCTGTCACACGATCAGGAATCATCTCTTAAGACAAAAACTCGAGTAATGGCAGAGTCCTGCCTCACTGACATTCACTCAATTCAATGTAACAGCATCAAGTTGTTGGAGTTTGTAGCAGAGCAAAATGAAATTTCATCAAAAAGAAAAGATACTGAAGTCACATCACCTGATGATGATAAGTTTCCACTGGTTGGCTGTGCAGTATATTCTTATTTAGTGTTCAGTGAAGGTCTCATGCCTTCCAATTTCCCCGCCATTTACACACCCAACTACCTCTGTCAATTCAACCTCCGGTACATTTCAGTGTTGTTACAGCAGCCCGATGTTTCCCTCCTCACCTACAAAGGGTTGGAATTGTTTGTTTCTTTGTTGAAGAAACTGTCAGCTGGCATGTGGAGCAGTGACTATTTGGAATGCAAACCCGTCATTGAACTGTTGAAGGAGCTGATGTACATCGCAAACATGACCAAATCAATTGAGTTTCATCAGAAGTCTCTGCAGATTTTAGCTACTGTCGTTAAAGCTTTCCAGTTGGAAGCCAGATCCAAGATTTATTACTTTCTCCTGTCAAAAGCTCCTCGACAGAAAGTCGTTGGTTTTGTAATTACGTTGTTCAAAGATGAAATCGTTGAAAATTTTGATAAAAAAGAGGCTATAGCAGAAATGTTAGAGCTGGAAAAGTTGTACCAAATTATTTTCTCGCTACCTAAAGGTGAAAAATCCGACTTATTAGAATACAGTGAGCAGGTGATGGGCGCTCTGAATTTGTTGAGATTCCTGGTGCAGTTCGATAAACCTGGCAACAACTTCACCCACATCTGGAATTTAGTGCCTGTCATCGAAGAAAAATACTTCAAAATTCTTGGCTCTGGCATCGAATTGTCGAGATGTCATTACAAACTCGAGATTAAAAAGATTATGGATTCGAGGTCTGAAAAAATAGCTTCAGGGATTCCCGTAGACGACGGAAGCGAAAAATTAACCGACGCCCAACGGATTGGGTTTCTCAAAAAAGCCGTTCACACGTTCACGATGATGGAAGAAATTTTGGGCAAAGTTTCGAGCGTCGTTCAAATCGAAAAGAATAAAGTTGATTTGATGGATTGACTTGATTGAATGCGTTTTGTCGAGTTTTAATTTATAACGCATTTTATTTGCTTCGGTTATGTTTTAAATTACGTTACATTTGTTTTAACATTGTTTTATTAGATTTTTCATTTGGCTATGGTTGAAAATTATTTTTTTTAAATAACAAAAATGAAAATCGTTATTTGCCTACTTTTTGTGGCTTTTATAGTAACTGGTTCGCTTGGGTCCGAGTATTCACCTCTTCCCGCTTTATTGACGCTCACAACACGGAATTCGTAGCGCTCCCCTTCCAGCAAATCCGGAACAATAGCGCACAGTTCCTCCGGAGGTACCATGCCGACCTGGTTTCAATTTAAACAAACTCGTTATAAGTTATGTATAAATAAATTTTTCACAAATCGTGAAGCTTGTTTTTCGCTGACCGTCTGCCACTCCGTGCTTCCGATCTGTCTCTTCTCGATGACGTACTTTAGGATGGGACTGCCGCCATCTTTCTTCGAAGCCGTCCACTGAATCTCGGCCCTGTCCTTATCAAAATCTATCACGACTGGAGTGCCGGGTTGACTTGGGGGGTCTTGAGGTTAAATGAAAAATGATTTAATGAACAGAATTTTTGAATAAATTTTACATTTAAATTTTAAAGTTAATATTTTTTCACACACCCCACGGATCTTTAGCCAGAGTCTCATCCTCTCCGAGCAGCCAATCACTCTCTCCTTCGGCGTTAACGGCCTTCACCTTGAACTTGTACAAATGGCCAGGTGCCAAATTATTCACGATGCATTGCTTGCTCGATTCCGTGATCGTACGCTTCTTGTTGTCGGTGACGTCATGAACTTCAATAATGTATTTTTCGATGCCGACGCCTCCATCGTCATCAGGTTCCTCCCACCTCAAACGACATTTCTCTTTAAAGATATCACGAACTGCCAGCTGACGTGGTGAGCTCGGGGCAGCTGTCGATTTTTGAAAAATGTTCATTTAGTGGGATGAAAAAATGACGCGAATTTAAAAAAAGAAAATCAACTTACAAATGACTTTAATCGATACTTCTGCAGAAACCTCACCACTATTATTCGTCAACCTCAACTCGTAAGTACCCGAATCTCCGCGTACCGACTCATCAACTAATAAGGTACATCTTTCTTTCGTTTGTTGAATCCTCAATGGACCCCCGTTAATTAGGGGAATGCCATTTTTCAGCCATATTGCCGTGGGTAGAGGGGTGCCGACGTAGGGGATGTCCAATCTAATGCCCTTGCCCGATCTCACCTCAATCACTTTCGGCAGTTGGTCGATGTTTATTTGCGGGGAAATTCTGCCTATAATTTTCAATGAGATTATTATCAGATATTCATTGTTTTATTATTTGAAAATGTTTTTCATAATTATTTATAAATAATTATTTATAAATTATGAATAAATAATTATTTAAATTACATTCTTGTACAGTCAGATCCGCACTGCACTCTCTGTCACCTATCTTACACGTATACGTTCCTTGGTCTTCCAGCTTCAGATTTCTGATTTCCAAACTATATGCCTCGTTTGAAATGTTTTTAGCTTGAAATCTGAATGAATTCGTCATACAAAATTCTAACTTCTTCTGTAATTAATTTGATTAATAGTTTAATTAAGTTTGATGTTATTTATTTGTTGTGATTGAATTATATGTTTATAACAAGTGTGTTGTATGCGTGTGTGTGTGTGTGTGTGTGTGTGTTTAGAAAATGATCAAACCTGCTGTTGAATGTCGCAGGGGAGATGACGACTCCATCTTTGAACCACTGGACTTCATACTTTTTTGGATTGTCTACTTTCACTTTCAGGACCGCAGTTTCGTGTTCCAGTTGAGTTGTGTTCTTCAACCTCTCAACTATTACTACGTCCGCTAGTTCAAACAAATTCAAATGATTAACTTTCTATTTATTCATATAGAAATAATACAAACACCCAGCGAACACACAAGGACGAAATAAAACATGAGCGATGCATGTAAAAGCAGGGTTACTTAGCATTCGAAACCATGTACTGCATGCAGTGCGGAAGACAGACACTTCACCAACACACTAATTAAAACATCAATTCAAGATCCATCTTTTAAATTTGCGGTGCCACATTAAAAAAAAGTTTAGGAAAAATTAGAGGAAAAGTTTTTTTTTCGTACGAGCCACAAAGAGTCGAGCACTGGATGAGAAGTTCTGCAGCGAACATGTGTAGACTGCCTGGTCTGAACTGTCGACATTTTTTATCACAAGTCTGTGCATCGTTCCCCTCATCTTTTTCTGATATTTTCCTTCCGATTTTTTGATTGGCTGCGTGGATTGACCAATGGCAATGTAGGAATGAAAAAAAATATTCGTGATTAAAGAATTGATAATATTATAAATTATAAATACGCCGTTAATTTTAACAATTCACTCATTCTCATTTCTTCATTCAATCCACTAATTACACTAATTAGTTAATAAGATATACTACCTTTCCATTTTTAAGCCATTTTACTGGAGCACCTTCATAATTCGTCTCACATTCGAATGTTACATTCTCCTTCTCGAAAGCATCCTGGTCCAAAATGCGCCTCACAAATTCGTATTCAGGATCTTTGGATGACGTAATTGATGAATTAATTTTTGAAGGGAAAGGGTAAGAAAAAGAAAGAGAGAAAGAGAGAGAGAGAGAGAGAGAGAGAGAGAGAAAAGAAGAGAGGAAAAAGGGGTTACACTTATCAAAATATATTTTCGAAAAAAATGAACTGCTATGATATTTACTTAGGAAGAATCGCACTTAAGATAGAAATCTATTTTTGAGTTTTATTTAGTGAAAATAATTCCCACAAAAAACTTATTTTCCGTAACAATATGAAAGACACAATTGAATAAGACAAAACTGCGTAGTACGTTACAATATGTCTAAAAATAAAACGCTAGAAAATTTTTTTATCACACCTGAAGAACAAAAAACGAAAAAAAAACTGCAAAACAATGTTTAATGTTTATGTTTACTGTATCTTTGGTTTGTTTACTAGAGTATGGTGACGTAATAGCGATAAATTTTTTTTCTAGAATTCAAACGTAAAGAAAAAGAAATAAACAAATAAAAAGAAAAAAGAAAGAAAAAGCGAAAAAGAAACTGCCACTACCAAATTTTATACCTGCAGTACCTCAATCTTTTTTGACACGAGTGCTTTGCTAAAAAATTTGATTGAGATACTACATAGGGGAAAGAACGGATATAAAATGAATACAGATGGAACAAGAGCAAGGGGCAATTTTAATTTTAGAATTAGGAAATAATTCTTTCTCTTTTTCTCTCTCTCTCTCTCTCTTTTTCTCTCTCTCTGTCTCTCTCTTTCTCTGTCTCTTCACTTTTTTGTTGTTTTCTTACCTTTTCTCTGAAGAACTAGAAAAAAAGAAATTTCAATGTAGGCTTCAGAATTTGTTCACTTCCCCCTTTCTTTCTCTCTTTCTCTTTTTAGACTTTTGTTTTTTTTTTCGTTTTTGTATCCTTATTTTTTGCTATCTCTCTCTTTTTTCCATCTCTCTCCCTCTCATCTCTTTCTTTTCCATCTCTCGCTCTCCTTAAAAATTTTAGACATTTTAATTATAGCCATTAAATCTATCCGCCTGCAAGAAAATTAGTTTTTATGTTGAACGCTTTTTCCGTCTTATTACTGCCATTTTTATTATTGTTTTAAAAATAATAATAATTATTATTATTATTATTATTGTTGTAATTATTCTTGTTTATTTGTTTATTATTGGCAGTGTTCGTCTTACGATTCATTTATCTGCCTGATCATTACTATCCTCCTCTTACTTTAACCATTCCATTTACAATGGAGCGTGAGTTTTCAGCACAAAAACAGAAGAAATACGTACCGCGGCGTTTATGGCTGCTTCCTTATTATTGCCCAAATAACTCGCCTAATTATCGCTTCCCGCATCCGTAGATATATAATTTGTTTACATAGAAAGAAAAACACCCCTTTGATGTTGTTGTTGTTTTTCGTTGTTGTTCATGTGGTTGTTTTGTTCGGGTCTGTTGTTAAGTGTGTGAAGGTAGCGAATAGTAATATTGCTTTTTTTAGTAATGCTATTGCTGGTTGGTTATGATAATATTAGAGACAAAGGAAAGAGAGAGAGAGAGGAGAGAGAGAGAGAGAGAGAGAGAGAAAGAAAAAGAAAGAGAGAAGAAAAAGTCTAGTACCTTACGCAGACAATGGTTGTTTTGGGGTCGGCTAACATTCCTTGCAGTTAACAAAAAAAAACATTTCATCACCACCATCATCATCATCATCATCATTTACAGGATCATCATCATCATCATTTACAGGATCATCATCATCATCACCGTAATGGTCATTGTTATCTATCTACGTGTAAGGAGTTGTGTAGTGGCGTCATGGTACAGATAATAATAATGCTATCACTGTAGTACAAATTTTTCAACTGATTATGCTCTTATATTTTTTCTCATTCATTCGTTCATTCGTTCGTTCGTTCGTTCGTTCATTCATTCATTCATTCATTCATTCATTCATTCATTCATTCATTTATTCACTCATTCATTTTTTTATTCTTTTATTTACTCATTTTTTCTTTCTTCCAATCAAACATCTTTTCAGATTCCAAAGCACCTGTCTTCATATGTTTAGCTCCGTGAATCACTTGTAAGTTTTTTATCTATCACATTTTTTTTATTTATTCATTCATCTGCTAGTACGTTCTTTCATTCATTCATTCATTCATTCATTCATTCATCTATTCGTTCATCCATCTATCCATCTATCATTTCATTCATTCACTCCATCAAAAGAAATTCAACCCATCCATCCATCCATCCGTCCGTCCATCAATCACTCCACCGTATCTCAATCTTGCTTACTTTTTTAACGACTCAACTTACATTGATAAAATTTTTCCGCACACAAAAACCATAAACACCGAATTGTTGAACGCACACACACACACACACACACACACGCACACGCACGCACACACACACACGCACACATGAATGAAAAAACAATAGAAAGAACGAACTAACCAATAAATAAATAAAATCACACTTAATCAGTTAACCTACAAAGCAAAATCCAAAAAAAAACAAAAACCTACCCTCGACTGTCACGTGACAGGAAGTGGTGTCTCCATGTACGGAGCAGACGAACCTGGCGCCATCTTGGTCCCGGCGAATATCAGGGATGTGCAGGATGCATTTGTGGTCTCGTCTCGATATCTCGTAAAGTCCCGGTACGTACTGATAATGATCATGACGGCGGTTTTGATGATGATAACGATAGCAACAGAACCAAAGTAGCAGTAGTAGTAGTAGTAGTAGCAGCAGTAGTAGTAGTAGTAGTAAGTAGTAGTAGTAGTAGTAGTAGTAGTAGTCGTAGTAGTAGTAGTAGCAGTAGTAGTAGTAATGAAAATGATATTGTTTTTGTTTACAATAGATATTCGTTACATAACGTCTGTATAAAAAAGTAATAATAAAAACAATAATAATAATAACAAAAATGACAATAGCAACAATAGCAATAACAATAAACCATAAAAGATGTATGATAATAACAATTATAAAAGACACCAGAGAACTCGGAAGGAACAATAACCACAAATTAATTATACGTCTCTGGAACATCATCAACAACAACAACAGTAGCAACAACAACATCAACAACATCATCATCAACATCAACAACATCATCATCAACAACAACAACAACATCATCATCATCAACAACAACAACATCATCATCATCAACAACAACAACAGCAGCAGCAATTACAACAACAACAGCAGCAACAACAATGGCAACAGTAACAATAATAAAAATAATATCAATAATAAGAAGAATAATAAGAATTGTAATAAATATTTTTGATAAAAAATATTATACGATAGATAACTCAACGGCGTTGATACAATTTTTAAAACCCTAAAAAGTAGTTTTTAAGGGAGAAATGTTTAGGAAAACAAAGGTATGTATCTACGCATGTATGTATGAATGAATGAATGAATAAATGAATGAATTAATGAATTAATTAATTAATGAATGAATGAATGAATGAATGAATGAATGAATGAATGAATGAATGAATAAATGAATGAATGAATGAATGAATGAATGAATGAATGAATGAATGAATGAATGAATGAATGAATGAATGAATGAATGAATGAATGAATGAATGAATGAATGAATGAATGAATAAATGAATGAATGAATGAATAAATGAATGAATAAATGAATGAATGAATGAATGAATAAATGAATGAATGAATGAATGAATGAATGAATGAATGAATGAATGAATGAATGAATGAATGAATGAATGAATAAATGAATGAATGAATGAATAAATGAATGAATGAATGAATGAATGAATGAATGAATAAATGAATGAATGAATGAATGAATGAATGAATGAATGAATGAATGAATGAATGAATGAATGAATGAATGAAGGAATGAATGAATGAATGAACGAACGAATGACGCATTGCATTGTATTGTTGATGGGTGGTCTGAGATAACCGATGACTTTGATTAAGATGGTGACGACGACGACGATGATGATGATGGTGGTTACGATGAGGATGATGATGGTGGTTACGAAGAGGATGATGATGGTGGTTACGATGAGGATGATGATGGTGGTTACGATGAGGATGATGATGGTGGTTACGATGAGGATGATGATGGTGGTTATGATGAGGATGATGATGGTGGTTATGATGAGGATGATGATGGTGGTTATGATGAGGATGATGATGGTGGTTACGATGAGGATGATGATGGTGGTTATGGTGTTGATGATGATGACGACGATGGTGGTTATGATGATGATGATGATGATGATGACGACAACAAAAAAACATAAAAAACATCAAAGATTATATACAAATTAAAAAAACATCATTCAAGTGTTAAGGATTGCAAGAAAACCAACAAAAACAACTGCTGATGTTTACGATGATGCTATTGTTGGTGATGATAATGATGAAGATGTGTTTGACGATGACGATGATGATGACGATGATGATGACGATGATGGTGATGCTGTGTTATTGTACGATAAAGCATTACATAATTGGTTTTTTTGAGGATAGTGTAAATAGATTACTGAACTATTTTTGCTGAAGTGAATCCTTTGAATGTATGTTCATATGCATGTACGTATGTATGTACATGTTTGTATTAATGCATGAACGTAAGCATGCATGCATGTATGCATGTATGTTTGTTTCTATGTATGTGTGTATAGTAATACTAGTAGACCAACTTCTTCTTCTTCCTCTTTTCGTGCCAATATCCTTTTCAGGATATTTAGCGACCATCGACCTTCACCAAACTCAATTTTCAACACTTTGTAGTAGTTGAAATGTGGCGATATTCAACAAGTGACGCAAGGATTTCACGATTGTTGTTCGCTGTTCACCGCGATCTCGTCTCCCTGCAATCTTTCAAGTACTTGTTAGATTTTCCATTCTTTCCTTCCGCATGATGTGACCAAAAAACTTTAACTGCCCCGTCGGATTATCTGTAGTAACTTTTTCTTTTCATAACCGGACCGCTTTAATACATCCTCATTCGAAGTATGAGAGGTCCAGCTAACTTTCATAATTCTTCTCAAAAACCACATCCCTTTTTTCATTTCTTTAGAGTTGTATCATCGGCATATCTTAAATTGTTCATACTCACGCCTCCAATGAACATTCCAGGTAGGATATTCTATCTCTCTCATGATGATCTCGCTATAGAGATTGTACAAATCTGGAGAGGATTGACAGCCTTGCCTAACACCATCCTTTATTTTAACAGAACCATTTCAGCCATTGACGTTCGCTAAGAATTTTGCAGTATCACCTGTAAGTATGTGTGTATGTGAGTCTGTATATGTGTGAGTGTGTATGTAAATGTGTGTGTGTATGTGTGTGTGTGTGTATGTGTGTGTATATGTGTGTGTTTGGTGTGTATACTCAGAGATAACAATTAAATAACAGGGAAAAAATACGCTGTCTAGAACATTTAGCAGTCGAAAGAATTTACCGGCAGTATTTTTAATGTTGCTAAGAAGTTTTTAAAAAGAAATGCTTAAAATTTGTAAAATACTTAGAAACTTATTCAAATTTTTCAAATTTGTTTATTTTTTTTTCGAAAGTTCTTGAATCATAGATAGATTGATTGATTGATTGATTGATTGATTGATTGATTGATTGATTGATTGATTGATTGATTGATTGATTGATAAATGCGTCGCAAGTAAAGTAAAACATTGTAGTATGTTGCTGATTCGTTCATTCATTCATTCATTCATTCATTCATTCATTCATTCATTCATTCATTCATTCATTCATTCGTTTGTTCGTTCATTCATTCATTCAATTTTTTCAGCCTTACAATCTACTTTTTATTGCCATCAAGTTTTTGAGCGTTTTCAACATAAAAAGACAAAAAAAAAGATCTAGTAAGAATGATAATAATAATTGTAATAATAATAATAATAATAATAATAATAATAATAATAATAATAATAATAATAGATGATAAACAAAGACACAAAAATTTAAAAAAAATTGAAAGTAATAAATTATAAATCTATGTACATTTGCTTTTTTCTCAGCTCAGAAGAAATGCTTTTTCGTCCGTGATTTTTTTTTTTTCCAAAAATTTTTTTTAAGAAAAATTTTGAAAAATAGAAAAATAATAAAAGTGAATGAATAATAAGAAAAAAACTGTAAGAAAACAGTAAGAAAAACAAGCCTATGAGCCCATATTCATTGCAATAGATTAATTACATTGTTGTTTTAGCAAATGATTGGTCGGAATAAACATACAAACATACACGATACATACATACATAGAAACATACACAGATACATAAACAGATATAAACATACATAGATACATGCGTAGATACATACATAGATACACACACAGATACAGGCGTAGATACATACATAGATGCTTATGGATATCCTATTGCCAATAGCACCCGTGTTGCATAGTTTAACGTTTCACTATCACTCATAATTAACCTTTCTAGTGAAATCAATATCCTTTTTTTCAAGTGTTTGTTCGTTTGCTTGTTCGTTTGTATGTTTGTTTGTATGTATGTTTGTTTGTATGTATGTTTGTTTGTGTGTGTGTGTGTGTGTGTATGTTTGTATGTATGTATGCTTGCATTTTACAACAGTCAGTCCGACAATAAGGAAAACCAACAAACCAAAAGCAGAAGATAGCAACAATAATGTCATTGTGAGCGCGTACAATGTGTTTGTTTATATATATATATATATATGTGTGTGTGTGTGTGTGTGTACGTGTATGTATGTGCGTGTGTGCGTGTGTATGTTTGTCGTAAAATTAATTGGTGGTGCGTCAAAATGTACATAAATGTTAACGGTATGAAAGCATTATCAGCTCTATAAACAGACCATACCTGCATATCGTTCTTTTTATGTTTCAACATTTTCCTCTATTTATTTACGATTTAAAAAAATAATGATAATAATAATAACTTAAATAATAGTAATAACATTATATAATAACAATAATAATAATAATAATAATAACAATAATGATTTTAGTTTTTTCCCAGACAGCATTCGAACCCGTGAACACGCAGTAACATCAACTTCTCGAAACAAAGCACTCTACCACCTAAGCTATCTCGCAAGCCAATGATTACACCACCATCATCATCGTCATCATTATCATCCTCGTCATCATCATCATCATCACTAACATCATCATCAGCAACGACAAATTAAAGACGACAACAACATCATGACAAACATCAAAAAAAAAAACCTAACCTCAAGGTCGTCGCCATTTTTAGACCAGGTCACGTGGCCTCTGTGGTCGTTGAGGACGCATTCCAAGGTCAAGGACTTCCTCTCCTTGACCGCCAGCTGGAAGGGCATCTTGCGAATGAAAGTGTACTCCTGAGGGCGCTCTGCATTCATTCGTTCAGGTAAGATCGATTCTTTATATTCATTTTTTTTCGTACTTTAATTTGTTCATCCATTCATCCGTTCTTTCATTCGTTAATCTATCCAGTCATTTATTCATTCATTCATTCACTCATTCATTCATTCATTCATTCACTCATTCATTCATTCATTCATTCATTCGTTCGTTCGTTCGTTCGTTCGTTCGTTCGTTCGTTTGTTCGTTCGATCATTCATTCATTCATTCATTCAGTTTCATCTTTACCTTCGACAATTAAGCTGGCGGTTGATGCGAGCTTGTTGTTAACTTTCACCATATATTTCCCTAATTAATAACAACAATAATAATAACAATAAAGATACATATCTATACTCAAGCACATACACAGATACAATCGTTCAATCAGGCAAACATACAAACTCGCAAACATACAAACTCGCAAACATACAAATTCGCAAACATACAAACTCGCAAACATACAAATTCGCAAACATACAAACTCGCAAACATACAAACTCGCAAACATACAAACTCGCAAACATACAAATTCGCAAACATACAAACATAATAACCATCATCGTCTTTTGATATTCTCTGTATTATCAGCCTGATGACACCTTGGTCATCGTTCAAGAAGTTGTATTTCTCGCCGTGATATATCTCCTGGCCATTTTTGAACCATCTCGTCTGTTTGTTTGTTTGTATGTTTGTATGTATGTATGTTTGTTTGTATGTTTGTCTGTTTGTATGCTTGTATGTATGTATGTTTGTTTGTATGTTTGTCTGTTTGTATGTATGTTTGTTTGTGAGTATATACTGTAAAAGTGTACATGTGTGTATGTATTTGTTGGCCTGTGTATGTAAAGTAATGTTATATGCTAATGAATTGAATGACTGACTGACTGAATGAATGAATGAATGAAGAAATATAAGAATGAATGTACATTTAAGTGTGACTTGATTTATAGCACATAGTTATTTATTGGCAAATAGTTTTTAAAACGATTGACGTAGAAAGAAGGAGCGGAAAGAAGTGAAGACAGGAAAATGATGATGAAAATGACCTTGACATTGCTGGTGGAGTACCTACAAGAGAGCTCCACCCTCGAATCCCTATCTTTACACGTCACATCCTCAAGTTCGTCCATCCAAAAATCCTGCTTCTGGTAGTTTTTTTTTTATTAAAAAAAATTTTTTTTATTAGTTTTTTGTGTCATTTGATAACACTCTATCAACCAATCAAAAACTGACCGGAAAAATCCGTCAACCAATCAGATAAAACTTTATCATCCAATCCAAACCCAAACCCGTCACAAAATTGATCAACTGACATTTTTAGCTTTTGAAACTGTTGTCATAGATATATGAAAAATTTCGTTAACCAATCGCAAGCCGATAAAAATTCATCGACCAATCGATAACCACAAAAAAGTTAATCGATCAATCAGAAGCTAACATCTTTAGGCTTTTGAAGTTGCGGCCAATCAGGGATGACCTCGGCGAGGCTTTTCCTCCTCAGAGCAATGGAGCTCCGCCTCCTTTCAAACTGTTGCAGTTCAATCTCTTCCACATCGACACGTCGTTGTTGTTGCTGCTGTAGGATTGTGGTGAGGTCATTCCTGCTGCTACTGTTGCTTCCAGAATCCTGATTTTGATTGGTTAATTGATTACTTAATTGATTGATTAATTGGTTGGTTTGTCGTCACCCCACTCACCATATTCATTTTCCAGTTCGGGCTTAAGTCGGCCAGGGATTGCCTCCTACCGGCCGATTGTTGCATTCGCCTCAGCCGGAACATCTCCAGATCGCTGAGTTGCGACTGCGAGTCGGTCGAGTTGTCGAGATTTTCGGTACTGTTGTTGTTGTTGTTGCTGTAGGCTGTTGAGAGCTGTTGAAAATAAAAAATTATGCTTTGAATGTCGTCGTTGTTGTTGTTGTTGTTGTTGAATGTTTCTTAATAAATACAAATAAAACGATGGTAATTTGGCCAACTAACCAACCCAGCTAGCCAGCCAACCAATCAATCAATCAATAACTCAATCAATCAATCAACCAATCAACTAATCATACAATCAAATAATTAGTCAATTAATTAACCAATTGATCAACTTGCTCCACACCAATCAACCAACCAGTCAACCAACCCTGAGCAGTCTCTGTTGAGTGGATTTTGAAATATCAATGGCCGACATCCTCCTACCTCGTTGATAGGTCATTGGGGGCGGTTGGGCTTCATCATTATCATCACCTTCATTCATTTTTATGTCCATTCATTCATTTATTCATTCATCTGTTTATTCGTTTGTTCATTTGTTCATTCATTTACTCGTTTGTTATTGCCTGTTTTTTTATATATAATTCATTTGTTCGTTCACTTGTTCATTCATTCATTCATTCATTCATCCATTCACGGATAGATAGATGAATGAATAAAGTATAAATAAAAAGATGAATGAAGGAATGAATTTGAAAAATTGAAATGAACCAACCAGGGTGAGAAGAGTCGAACGAGCCGACCTCGAGCAGACATGGCGTCCTCCTCCTGCCTCTACTGCACGTAAAATTAACATAATTTATTGATAAATGCGGCTGATTATCATCAAATGAGTTGTATAATTAACATAATTTATTATTATTTCATGAATAATTCTGAACAGTGCGTGCGATTAAAACATTTTTATATATTAATAACAACTTCTTACTTCATTCTTTCGGGTTTCATTTCAATTTCTGGAATGTGTTACGAAATGAAATTTTAAAAATTTGGATGGAGATAATGACGATGATAATGATAGTGAGAACACGATGATGATGATGATGATAACGTTGATGATGATGATAATGATGAAGTTGATGACGATGATGATGACGTCATGTTACCTGGTTCCGACGCGTCACTCGATTCCGAGTCTCGTCTTGATCTAGAATGCTCTCTCGACGAAAATTCCTGCATCATCATCATCACCATCATCGTCGTCGTCATCATCACCATCATCATCGTCGTCATCATCATCATCATCGTCGTCGTCGTCATCATCATCATCATCACAGTCATCTTACTTTTTGGGAGTTCGCCATTAGGAGTTGTCCGAAAATTGGTAAGTTATTCGTGTCTGAAGAAGAAAAGAATGGTGGTGGTAATGATGATGGTGGAGATGAATGATAATGATAGTGGAGATGATGATGATTCTGATGGTGGGGGTGATGGTGATGATGGTGGAGGCGATGATGATGATGATTGCCACGAACCGAAACTGTTATCCTCCTCAATGCTATTTCTTCTCGACATAATTCCTACGCAAATGTGAATGAGTGGATTGATGAATGAATGAATGAAAAAACGAACGAACGAACGAACGAATGAATGAGTGAATGAAAAAATGCATGAATGAATGAATGCCTGGATTAATGGATGGACAGATGGATCGATGTTTTGTAAATGCGTATAGAGAAAAATTAATGCCGAACATACAAGATAAATAAAGAAACAGCATCAATAATAATAATAAAACAACAACAAAACAACAACAATAATAATAAAACAACAACAATAATAATAACAACAACAAAATCCGGAATACTAACTGCTGGGAATTCTCGGCAAATCCGGGACCACATCATCCGCCTCGATGACGTCATTCGCATCCGGATCGGAAGTTCTTCGTTCTGTTTTTATCCCTGGGGTTTCCTCTTCATTATCACTACCGAAATTTATTTCTACTTTTGGGGTTTTTCCACTCTCCTCCCATTCATTTTCACTTCCGGGATCTATTTTTATCTCCGGAAAAATCCCGGGCACATCAACGGGGATTCTATGATGGGAAAGTCCGTTAGTTTCAGATTCGTTTTGGCTACTGGCGTCGTCACCATGGTTGTCGATTTTTATTATGATGCCTTGGTCGTCATCGCTGTAGTTGTTGTTGATGTTGTTGTTGTTGCTGTTGTTGTTTGTTGGTTTCGTTTTGCGTGTTTTTGTTGTTGATTTTGTTGTTGTTGTTGTTGGAAATAAACTGTTTGATGACGGTGTTAATGTTGTTGATGTTGTTTTTTTGCTATTGTTGTTGTTGTTGCTGCTACAAGTTTTGATGTCATCATCGTCACTATTGTTGATGTTGTTGTTGATGTTGTTGCTGATGTTGTTGGGGCTTATCGGGTGTCTTTCGCGTGCTCTCAACATGTTATTATCAATGTAGTTGCTGTTGTTGTTGTTGCTGCTGTTGCTGTTGTAGTTGTAGTTGTTGTTGTTGTTGCTGCTGTTGTAGTTGTTGTTGTTGTTGTCGTTGTTAATGTCAAAATGATTACTTTTGTAGGCAGAAATATTTTTCAAACTATCCTTTGTTTGTCTTGCTAATGCTTGTGATGTTGACGACGACGATGTTGTTGTTGCTGCTACTGCTGCTACTACTGCTGCTTTTGCTGCTGTTGATGATAATGATGACGTCAACGATGATGGTGATGATGATGATTTAACTTTTTTAGAATCTCTTTGATTTCGTTTCTCTTTTTTTCTAAAAAAAAGACAAAAAAAAATTCAAATTAATTATTATATTATAATTAATTTATTATATATAATTATACAAAATTATTATATCATAATTAATATATTATGTCTAATTAATATAATAATAACTACGTCATAATTTTACAAATAATAATGATAAAAAAAACAAAAGAAAAATAAATCAATCGACAAGCCGAAACAACTCGGTCGAAATAAGCAAAAAATTTTTTTTGGTTTGTCTTTTTCTGTTTTTGTTGTTGTTGTTATTGTTGTGATGTTGTTGACGTCATTAAGATGACGCTGATAATGATGTTGTTGTTTCTGTTGATGTTGATGATGATGATGATGTTGTTGTTGTTGTTGATGATGATACTTATGTTTGTCCAAAAAAACCAAGCAACTGTTGTTTAAGACACAAATTAAAAACACCGTATATTTACTTAGGTGTCGCAAAAAAAGCTACTTTTTCTGCTTCTACTACTACCACTACAGTTACTACCACAACTACTAAACTACTATTACTAATACCAATGTTTTCACTACTGCTTTTTATAGAATAAGTAATGTTAATTAATTAATTCAATAAATACTAATCCTAATCAAAAACTTGCAAACTAACTTACCAGAAAATAAGAACAATGAAAAACTCCTATATATATATATATATATATATATATATATATATATATATATATATGTATGTATATACGTACGTATGTATGAGTGTTTGTATGTATGTGTATGTATGTATGTATGTATGTTTGCATCT